AACATTTTAGGGGCAATTAATGTCAGTCAATAAAATTAGAATTCCACTAATTGTATTTTTACTTGCTTGCTCTGCTTAATGTTAGCAATGTATTTGAGTTTCAGAGTGATGGCAATAAGCAAATTAGTTAGCTCAAGCTGTTAGTTTTGGTTTTAGTTACAATATGTAGATTTTGCAGAAGAAACTACTATAGTTGTCTTTAAATCTTTGAAAATTTGTAGAACAAAGTTTGTTTATCTAAGTGAAGTAATTTATAAATATTTTTATGTAACAAGTAATATTGTTAAATTAAAATATTTAAAAAGTGATCTAAATAAATATTTTATGGTATTTATATTTTTTTAATTACATTTTTGTGTAATTTTACATCATAGAAATACATTAAAATTTTTAAAGTAATAAAATAAATTATGTCTGTGAAGTATAATTAAAATACATACATCCAAAAAGAAATTATAATGTTTGTACTTATATAGACATTTTATTAGTTTGATAATTAATTTAAATTAAATATATAAAAATTAAATAAATATTTTGCAACTTTAAAGGTCTGTTTAATTAATTTTAAATTACATAAACAAACATCACAAAACTCAATAAATTTGTAAAGCCAATCAACCACTGGATTACGTCGGGCTACTTTTCTGCAATTATATTTAATTAATTATTAATTACTTTGTCACTGGACGAAAATATTAGGCACTATCTCTTGTTAAATTTAATAATTATAATTAAAGTAATATTTATTAAATAATTTAGAATATTCTGGAAGAATATAATTGGCTTGGAGCGGGACTCGAGTTTGCAACTCCTGATTACTGTGCAGATGCATTGCCAGTTATGCTACCCAAGTCTCCAGTCTGATCTCATTTCCCAGATACATTTAAATATTATATAACCATCATTGGTTATATGTGGTGCCAACTTGGGATATCTTCAGTGCCCTCATCCTATAAATTTCTACTCATGACACTCAGTCAGCCATCACTTAACCCCAATATGGTGTGTATATATAATATATATGTTATGGACAAAGTGATTAATACGGGCATTATGAATAATGACCAAGAAAATCGGGCATTGTAATAAATTTCAATAATTTATCAAATTGACCGGTCATTATGAATACTGCTACCATCTAGTCGGGCAAAGTGATAATAATACGTTGAGGAGTGATCATCCGGCATACGTTAGCCAATCAGAATTTACATCTTACTTGCTCACGCGTATTGCATTTAGTACCGAACTTTAAATTTAAATTTATATGACCAGTAGTTAATCTTTCTTCTTTGACAAAAGTAACGATCATGAAGGAATCATTAAGTGATATGAATAATCGCTTCAACAACCGATTAAACGAGTTAAAAACCAAAAGGGCTGAAGAAGTAGCATATGGTCTTTTAGAT